ATTTGTAGTTTCTTAGTTCATCATCAAATTATCAATATTGTCTAACTAGAGTTTTTTTTTTTTTTGCCCCTTCATATTTTAGACTTATATCGATTGTCTTCATATTAAGAAGACTGATAAGTCAAGAATGCTTTCAGAGGATGCAATGGATGTTGAAACTAGCCTGGGCAACAGAAATACAGGAGAAATTCATTTTGATGAAGAGAAGGTGAAGTTGTTTTTATTTATCATGAAATCTATTGCTTGTTTTTATGCATATTAGTCACATGCTTGTCTGAGTTGCAGGTGGCTCAACTAAAAGAGCTCTCAAAACAGCCAGATATATACGAAAGACTGACAAAGTCGTTGGCTCCAAACATCTGGGAGCTAGATGATGTGAAGAAAGGTCTTCTTTGCCAGGTTAGGCATTTTCTGTTTGCAGAATGATAGCTTGTTTCACTGATTTGCTTTTAGTTTGTTTACGCTCTCTCTTTTTGGTACTTGGACTGATGGCGTGTAACTGCCTTCATTACAGCTTTTTGGTGGAAATGCTTTGAAGTTGGCATCTGGTGCTAACTTCCGTGGAGACCTTAATATTTTATTAGTTGGTGATCCTGGAACCAGTAAGTCCCAGCTGCTCCAATACATACATAAACTTTCTCCACGTGGCATTTACACAAGTGGAAGGGGGAGCTCTGCAGTTGGACTGACTGCTTATGTTACCAAAGATCCTGAAACAGGCGAAACTGTATAAACTATATTCACATGATACGACTATATCATCTTTTGTTTAAGAAACATAGACGACCCTAAACATTTTTGCTCCATTTTCAGGTTCTAGAGAGTGGTGCTCTAGTTTTAAGTGACAGGGGCATCTGCTGTATAGATGAATTTGACAAAATGTCCGAGAATGCCAGGAGCATGTTGCATGAGGTTGGTCGCATGTTTTCTCGTTCCTTGTACTTGTAACTGAAGCATTTCTGGTGTCATGATTTTTTTAGCTCTGCATTTTAAATGTCTATAGCCCTGAGTTTTGATTTATTTCAGGTGATGGAACAACAAACTGTTTCAATAGCAAAGGCGGGTATTATTGCGTCTCTCAATGCCAGGACTTCAGTGTTGGCTTGCGCAAATCCCAGCGGGTCGCGATACAACCCTCGCTTGTCCGTCATTGACAACATACAACTTCCTCCTACACTTCTGTCCAGGTAGGTCGCTGATCAATATTAACTATAATAATTGTTAAAAGATAAAAATTTGATTTTACCGTGGGTTTCTATTTGCTCTTTTCATTCTTTATAAATATAGCAGAAATTTGTTTTCTTTCTAAGCTTCAAATTCTCTCGACATAACAAAAAAAATATTTTCTTGAACATAGTTAATTTTTTTATAACAAAAAGTGCTTATTCAGTTAACTTATCTATAATAATTTTAATCACTTCACCATGGAAGCAAAGCAAATAAAAAATAATGTTTATTTTTTAACCTCAAATTTTTCATAAGAAAAAGCAGATTTGGTATTTTCCAAAATATCCCCTGGTGCCGCTAGATTTGGACATTAGCAAATTTGAGGCTTATTTAAAAAAAACAAAAGCTAAAATTCTTATCATAGCTGAGAGAAAAAAGAATTAATACATTTTATTAACTTTGTTGGCATAATGAGGAAGTTCGAATAACGATGGGTAAATTAGTTTATTTCTGTGTAAGTCTTTTTCCATAAAGTAAATTAATAATGTTAAAGAAGATGATCCTGTCAAAAAGATGTTAAAGAGGAAAATTTTGACTATATTTACAAAATTAAAGGATTAAAAAAATATTATAAAATTGACTAAAGTGAAACTTAGTGTCAAGTTAGAGGACTAAAAATTACTTTACTGTTGATAGACAAATTTCAGACTTGCTGCCCTGTCATGCAATTTTCAGTATCTCGACAGCTTAAGTAAAATAATAAACATTTAGCAGTCGCAAACTTCAGCCTGGCCTTTATGGTGTTCGTGAGTCATTATGAAGCAAGTAGGTCACTGCTAGTCCCTAACTGCTTCTACCCTCTAAGCATTGATGATTAATTCAAGGCATGGTGAGGGCTGAGAAGATAACAGATTAACAGTATTTTTGAAAATGATGTAGTAGTTGTGAACTGAACTGAGGTGATCTGTTCTTGCTCAGGTTTGATTTGATCTACTTAATTCTTGACAAGGCTGATGAACAGACAGATAGACGACTTGCCAAGCATATTGTTTCCTTACACTTTGAGAATCCTGAGGTCTAATCTTGACATCCTCCCATTCAAGGTTTAAGGTCCAATGTTCATTGTTTTGGCTTACTAATAAAGTTATATGTCTATTTGTAGAGCTTAGAGCAAGATGTGTTGGATCTTCCTACATTAACTACTTATGTGAGCTATGCTCGAAAGCATATACACCCACAACTATCTGACGAAGCTGCTGAAGAATTAACTAGAGGTTATGTTGAGATAAGGAGAAGAGGAAATTTTCCAGGGAGTAGCAAGAAGGTAAAGTATTTTACATTCGTTTAACTGGCAAGATTCTGACCATACATGAACTTGTGACATGAAACTAAAATGAATGATTCCACACAAATAGAAATGAAAATTCTAGAGGATAAATATGTTCTTCCATTTTGACATCACCATTTATTATATTTTTTGTGAAAACCCTATATCCGGGAAATTATCATCTCTGATTCTATAATGATTATAAGATTGTTCCCTAATATTGCAATTTTAAAAGCTTTTCAACCCTCTGCTGTGGATGCCAATCTTTTGAATGGATTAAGCAGGTGATAACAGCAACACCAAGGCAGATTGAGAGTCTGATACGGCTTAGTGAAGCCCTGGCTCGGATTCGCTTCTCAGAATGGGTTAGTTATCTTTGCTTAGCTCCTTTCCTAATTAAACACAAGTAAGGAAGTCTTTGCCGTCCTCATAAAATACCTGATGCGCACAGGTGGAAAAGCGGGATGTAATGGAGGCATTTCGGCTTCTGGAAGTTGCAATGCAGCAGTCAGCCACAGATCACTCCACTGGTAGCTTTCCAAATGATGAACCTTGTTCTTTTATATGTAACAGACAAACTAGATCAAAATGTCCTTACTTTTGACGTCCTTTGTTACTCCCAGGAACCATTGACATGGATCTTATTACTACTGGAGTTTCTGCAAGTGAAAGGATGAGACGAGAAAGTCTGGTACAAGCAACTCGCAACATAGTTATGGAGAAGATGCAAATTGGGGGGCCATCAATGAGATTATTGGAGGTATGCTAGCTTACTCTATATGTTTTGAGGTATCCTGCCGATTATCTGAGCGTGCAATGACGTTTATGTTTACATATGATCATTTAGTTACTTGAAGAGTTGAAGAAACAGAACGCCAGCGAACTCCACCTCAGTGATGTAAGGCTGCCCTCCCTTCCCCCTCCCAAAATAATGTTTTCTGTTTTGTTTGCATACTCCCATTTGGAATATCTCATTATTAATTAGGCAAATACATGTTAATGCAGCTAAGAAATGCAGTTGCTACTCTGGCCAGCGAAGGATTTGTTTCTCTGCATGGTGACAGTATTAAAAGATCGTGATACAATGGCGTACCATATGACCCTTTGATTTATATTTTAAGAAGCCACTAGTTGATGCAGTTCTTTTAGACGTCACAAGCCGAGTGCTGAGGAAAGTAGTACGGCGCCCTGTAAATGGTTGCATTGTTAGGCTTTTCATCGCTGTCCTTTTTCTTATAGCCGCCAAGTGCGACTCAAGGCTATCTTGGGTGGTTGAAAGGATGGAATACGAGTAAAACGGCACAACTTCGACAACAAAATAGCTGCTGAAGTATATTTGAATGTGTTCTTTTCTTAACTAGCACCTGTTATGAAGAGTTGCGAAATTATTTATAAACGTTGATTTATGACTGTCACAAACCAGCGTGGTAGCTGATTTCCATATTTCGATAGCCTGACGCAAATCTATAATTTTAAACAGAATGCATTAAATGTTGAGAGCTAAGACCAAAGTGGCTGTATCTTTGCCGACTGTTAGGTTGTCAAATTGTTAATTACCTGAACTTCATATGCTGGCCGAAGCCGAAGCAGTGTGCACAAGTGTTGCCGTTTATATTCCTCACCTCAGTTACACAATCCACAATAAAAAGGGTAATATTATCCCGAATCTTCAATTTTTGATTAAGGACATATTTCTCACTTTTTACTTGTTTTTTATATAAATAAAATTATTTATTTCAATAAGTATTTATTATATATTTTCTAAATTGCCCTTTATAATTTACATTAATAAAAAATAATTAATACATGCTTATTTATATAGGGCATTAGTTCATTTTTTTTATTTTTAAATATAATTATTATAATTAACTAATTTTTTTAAATTGTGACATTTTTTTTGTATATAAAAACACACAGTATTTTCAAATTAAAACACCAAGCTAATGGCGAAGTTGGACCGTTGATTGTCTAGATTTAGAATATGCATTTGTTATTCAAGGCTTGTGTGTTAATTATAAATGTTTTATTTGTTAGGAGATTAAAAATAATTATGTACATCTACATTGTTGTACTGATAACTGTAGATCAAATTAAAAATTTTAAGATGTCATGGAGTTGAAAGTGCTACTCGAATAGCTACCGTTACTATAATTATTCATCTCGGAAAATATAATCACTATCAGAACATTTGCCCCTAAACCTATGCAGATTGAAATCAACAAGCTACCGAGAGTTTGTATACAATTAACTTCATAATGGTTATTTAATTTGCATGATTTTGATGAAGAGCTTGGTTTATTATAATTATATTAAAAGGGTATGAATACTTGACTTCTAATTTTGGTCATGAGCTAGTTTGGCCTAGTTGGACTTTTTATAATGAGCTAGTTAGGCTCATATCAAGGAGCCTGCTCAATTTTCTACGCGTCTAAATTGCAGGTATGGATGATATGATTGTGACTGAAAATTTGAGAACATAATTGCATCATTTCTGAGACATAAGTCAGAATTGAAACACTCCAACCCTTGCATAAAATCAATTTAAATATTCACTGTTTGTGAAGAAGCTGACAAATTGTTGCGATGTTATTAGAGGATAGTTAAATGCTTTTTCGAGCAAATATCCTGTAAGTTACACCTTAATCATGATATTGTATCCCTGGTATAATGTCGAGATACATTATGTACACAAATGAAAGTTGATAGCTGTAGTTGAGGAGAACTAACAGACTACTCAGAATTTGCGTGAATGGAAGCCACGGTGGATACCATTGAGTCCACACCGCAGATATTGCGTCCCCGGCAAATCTTATAATAACCATTTTCTCCCCAATTCTCTCCCCATGAATTCTTAATGATCCAATATGGTTTCTCTTTCAGCCGAATGGGAGCATAGCCAGCTGAACCAAATCCCACCAGCAACACCCCGTGGTCTAGCCGCTTTGAACATATGTAAGGGCATGATACTCCTCCCACATATGTCTGCATATATACTGCATTGATGGCCACTGCGTTTATCCATACAAAGTTACAGCATTTCAGACATCATTATCTGAAGAAGAGAGACAGGAAAAAGAAGCCGCGACTAATTCACACAATGATCGACCAACTTACCAGCAAGAGGGCCATTTTTCACAAGATTAGCAGCAATCTGATCCTCGTCAAGCGAGACAACACTGAAGTTTGCCACTGATGCCGCGATCTTGGTCTTGTCAAATTTGCAGGCCCCACGATCTGTACCAGTATAAGGATAGTCATCCTCCCGCATTATCCCTCCAGCTTTAAGGATGTATTCAAAAGCACTATTCATCAGTCCGCCATTGCATCCAGAGTCGCAAGAACCGGGTTCTTCTGGATCACACTGCACATTGGCATACGTTCAATTTAGAAATGCATGCGGAAACATCTAATAGTTAATAAATTCTCCGATCAATCCTAAGACTTTGAATATGATATGTTATATATCTAAGTTAATTAATAATATACTTCAACATATCTATAGGCGTGGTAAATGTAGAATAGACAAAGGGTCAATAGACATAACCAAATTTCGCATATGCAATAATCAATAGCAATGATCATTCAGGACATATATCAGATTAAACCTCTATTAAACCTCTCGAAATTTCACACTATAATTCATCCTAATAAAAAGTGAAAATAACAAACCAATCCATATGAATAACAGTTTCCCAAAAAAATAAAAAAGCACACTAAAACTTAGACTATAAAAGAAAGTCAAACCTCATGATCGCAGTCCACAAGTTGCTGTTCGCTAAGGCTGACAAGTTGTCCTGTAGCGAGGAAGTGAGCACCTTCCAGGGCCCCAGTTGCGCTAAAACTCCAACATGAACCACATGAACCCTGATTTCCCGATCAATAAATTAGAATAACAAATCACCAATGAAATTTAACAAAAGAATATATCATGACGTACTTTTTAACACGCAGGAAACGAAAGAGACAACATTTCAAAAGGGGAAAAAAAAAACCTGATTCTTGACAGGGGTAACAGCACCATGCTCTCTCCAATCAAAGTCACTCGGAAGATTATCAGTCGGTAATATGGGAGCCTTGTGTGCATTTTCAGGCAACCTGAGACCTCTGAGACCTAGAAATTTCTTCCGAAACTCGGACGGAGTCAAATCCGAGAACTGAGTCACGCCATGAACTGCCGACGGATCCAGCTTCTGGTGCCGTTGAGCTCGGCGCAAGTTCGCCTTAAATACCTTGAACCTGTAATCATGCTCTTCCTTAGAGGAGTACGACTTCTCAAACCTGTTCTTGAACAAAGAGAAGTGATGCTCTGCGCCCAATCGAAGGTCTCCGCCGTCGACCACCTGCCGGATTAACGGCTCTGTATCACTCGCGGCCGCCAAATCCTCTGTCTCTGACGAGATCGTGGAAACCGATATGAAAAAGAAAACAACGAGGAGAGAAAGACTCCTATCCATATTGGCTTGAATGAGAATCGCTGGACCGGACAGAAGGGTTGCTTCGCGGACGCTTTATACTATCAGACTGTGTTTAAGCATGTGATCTCGCCCAACTAAGTATGATGGTCCTGCAAGTTTAAACCGTTTAAAAGGTATAACCACCTATCTGGTGGACAGCATTGATTGGTAGTTTTATGAAGTGCCCCATCTGATTACACCAGCGATTCTGCCTTATCTACTATTGGGGGAAGCGTGAGGGCAATTTAACCCAAAATATATGAGGACTGGTGTCTTACTTGAATGTCAGAGTTGAATGGTGGTTCGTTGTTTTCCCTTCTCTTTGGCCAATCTGGTAGGTGGTTGTTTACCTGCTCCTTTTTAAAATATTTTAATTAATTTGCATACTTTCTTGCGTTTCCCCTTAGCATATTTAAAAAAAAATTAGTTCTTAATATAAAATATATAAAAAATTATTTATTATTACTTTTTAATTTTACTCCTGTTATAAATTTAATTTTATAGTTTATTATATGCTTTGTATCACTTTCTTCTTATTTTTAACAAGAATAAGGTTAGAATTTTTTTTATTTTAAGACATATTTAATAAATTAACTATCATTTCTTAATTTTATTAAGATAGTTGAAAACTTTTTATAATAGAAACTCGAGGGAGTAAGTCTTTGTTAACTAATGGATGTTTCTTAAAAAAAATAGATTAAATCCTAATTTTTTAAAAATTTCACATCTTTTTAATTATATTCTTGAATAATTAATATGATATTTGATATTTTATTTATTTAAAATGCTCTCATTAATTGCTATAGTGGAATATAATAAAATAAAGAGATAATTGATATATATATATATATATATATTTGAACTTTAATAGTATCATGAATGTTATATTTTTGAGCTCTAATAGTAACATGAAAGATGATGGAAATGTGAATTCACATGAAGACTTTTACCCTATAGATTTTCTAAATTATAGTTCAACATCAAGCCTCCCAAATCATAAAATAAGGCTTCAAATGGGTGTCTCAATTATTTTAATATAAAAAATTGATAAGTTTATAGAGTTGTGTAATGCCATATATCTAAAAGTTATATGAATTGAAAAATATATTTTTGTGGCTCAAGAGATGTTTAGATCAGATAAAGGAATGAAAATATGAATACCTCATATTGTTATATGTTCATTTAATTCCATGTTGCCACGAGGAGGTAATTTTTCATCATGTTGCCTTTTCCATGACCATTAATAAAACTAGGGTCAAAATTTGTGTCATGTTAAATTATACTTACTTTATCATCTTTTCACTCACAATTAATTATATGTTGTTATTTTTTGGTGTTCAAAGCATGGAATATTTAAAAATATTAATTATTGATGAGAATATATGGTTGCTCTTTACCGTTAGAATTTCAAATGTTATTTATAGTGAAGTCTTGGATAATTCAATATAAAATAATAAATTTTTCATAATTTACTTCACATTTTATCCATTTACAACATATAATTTTATCATTTTGTTGTGCTCTACTTACTACTCACACATAATTCACATAATGAGCCCATTTAGAATATTTTAAAAATGTGCATGATATACAAAAATATCATAAAATTTTAAAATAACTAAATAATAAATTATTTTTATAAAATAGAAATCAAAGAAGATATCATAAAATTTAAAAACAATAAATTAATAATTATTTTTTTATCATTGTAACCAAACAAAAAATAATGTCAATTTTTATAAGATTCTTTGAAAATATATATTTTTATAAGATCTCTAAAATATCTAAAAATTGCTTACTTTTTAATCTTAAACAATAAAACCTATTATTAATGATAGCTAAACATTCCTAATACATACAGATCGTACAATATAGAGAATGTATCCATAAAATATTTTGATGTAAAAAATTTATTATAAATGATAGATATGTTATTTATAAAAATAAAAAATTATTGTATATGACCCATGCACTACATGGGTGCTTTACTATTAGAAAATACAATATATTATGGTTAGTAACTTTTTTTAGTAAATATTTTTCTTTATTATTGTTTATAGTAAATTAGTTTATTGTTTGTAATATATTTCTGAAAATAAAACTTTTATTCAAATAGTTAGATTTATTTACCTATAAGTGTATGGATACAATAAATTACTCGACTTATGAATAGTGTTGTTTAGCATGACTCTTATATTTTACATTGATGATGATTAATTATGAGGATACAATTCAATTATTGTTTGGTGCGTATAATTCACTAATACATGTTGCAAATATTTTGCTTATCTATTGGGATTCCAAAGTTATACTTCTTATAAACTATAACTAGCAATACACTCATGCGATGTATAGGGTATGTTTTTATTTTATACTAGCTAAAAATAAATAAAAGATTAAATATTATACAATGTTTATAATCATTAAACAGTAAATTTTGTAAAAATATATTATATAATTGAGATATTAAAAATTATCAATTCCACTAATAAGCGTTGGTTCTATTGAAATGGGTTATTTAGTCACTTCAACATAAAGTCTTAAATTTAAATTTGTGTAAATGTACAGGCCACATAAGCAAAAATTAATGGAATTAACTCAATTAGTGACACATAAACATGGTTTATATTGATTCACCAACGGTAAGCATAAATGTTTTAGATTGACTAAAGTTGAGAGCGACATGTTAAAATTAAAAAATTAGGTTATTATCAAGTTAAAAGTTAAAGGATCAAGTAATTAATTTTTCCTTTAATTTAATATCATTTGAGTTAATAAAATTTTTACATTATCATTAATCAAAAGTAAGCTCTCTTTTTTAATGTTAAGATGTCTCATTCCATCCAAGTAAAGTTTTGTATTTTTTTTAAAGAAAAATTGTGGATCTTAAAATTTTATAATCAATATTAAAATACATTTTTAAGATTATTTTGAGATATTTACACATTAAAAATAATATAAGTATAACAATATGAATCTTCTTAATTTTTTAAGAAAATATCTATAACAATGTCCATATTCATAGTGCACATATAAGTACAAAAATACCCATATCTATAAGAACCTTCTTAATTTTAAAATTAATTTTCAAATATTTTGCTTATCTATCGGCATTCCAAAGTTATACTTCTTATAAATTATAATACAAGTTATTTTTTAAAAATACTCTTCAATTTAAAATATAGGATATTGGCTAAATTTTATGTTTTTTAAGTTATACCTTTGCTTTTTTTATTCCTTGTCTTTAAATATTTTATATTTAAACATGCATATGTTACTAAAACCTCTTAAAATGAGAATAATGAAAAGATGTAGAATTTTTTTTAAATTAAGATTTTAATTAATATTTTTTGCAAATCATGAATTAATTAATAATGATATATGTTGTGGTCGGCGAAGATATATGCTGACTTTCGAGTGCAGACAAAAGGCCCCCAAAAAAGGGGTATTGAACAAGTTAAATGCATGCCTGTGCTCTGACATCATTGGCTTGACGTCGAGGTAAAGCAAACCAAGAGTCCAAGACTTAATCTTTAAGTTTCTCTTGGCTCTAACTTCTACTCCTACTTTAAGCCATTTATACTCTGAAGTATAGTATTCTATTCACCTGGCTCTAAAAATGCTATCAAGTCTGAGTTAAATATGATATAAAAAAAAAAAATATCAACTCCAAATTAATAGTGTACTTAACCACACGACATAAATAAAAGTCTTGTTCGTTTGGAGGTAATGCTTATTGTACCGTGCGATTAAAATAATAATTTATTAGTGATGATAGATATAATTTTCACGTGATTAAAATGATCCAACACAGAATGAACTCCCTTAAAATTTCATGCGTACGAAAAAAGGCAACTATCTATATTCTATATATAATATAGTATTTATAAGAAACCATAATATCTATAAATTATGAATAATGTTATTCACTTTATTTTTAGTGTACAACACAACCTACAATCTATCTAAAAGGAATATGAATGACACGTCTCCTAAACAACACATCCTTATTTATCATCGGCGTTTTATAATTCTTAGGCCTATTGGACTGAAATGATCCAACACAGAATGAACTCCCTTAAAATTTCATGCGTACGAAAAAAGGCAACTATCTATATTCTATATATAATATAGTATTTATAAGAAACCATAATATCTATAAATTATGAATAATGTTATTCACTTTATTTTTAGTGTACAACACAACCTACAATCTATCTAAAAGGAATATGAATGACACGTCTCCTAAACAACACATCCTTATTTATCATCGGCGTTTTATAATTCTTAGGCCTATTGGACTGGCCTAGTCCACCTCAGCCTCCCATGTTAGTGGGCTAAAGTAATGGCCTGAAATATAGGATTCTGATCCAGAAATGTGATTTGCAAGCTCGGCCTTAACTGCTCTTACAGGCCTACCGTGCTTTCTTTGTTTATTTTGTTTCCATCATTTAATCAGAGAATAGAATTGGGAAAATCACTATCAAATCCCATACAAGCATGCAAAATACCAGAAGTCGCATGAAATCATCAAATAAGCATATTTTAAATAGAGGGAAAATTGATAATTATATTTTTCTTGTATTTTAAATAGAGGGCAAATTGGTAATTGCATTTGGTGATTTCATTGGGCTTTTGGGTTTTTTAAAATGACTGTATGGACATTATAGTGATTTTGCCAAAAGAATTCACTCATAGGCCAAGTTTATGGAGGGTCAAACCCACCCCAATCTTACACTTAAGAAACACTTAATAGATCTGTTTATTTAAAACCATTATGACACAAGGCCACTAGCTATTTAATTTTTATTTATTCATAGTCAGGCATGTATTTTTATACATTACATGGAACTAAAAATGTTAAATGAGTTGTATTTTTCATGATTTATTAATATTGTGACTTTTTGTAAGTTGTATATGATATTTTGATACTATAATTGATATGGAATTGATTATAGACAGTACATAACCTTTTTTAAAAAAAATTGATTAAATTTAGGGAGAATTTTAATTAAGAATAAGAGATGTAACTTAATTATCAACAGGTGTCAAAAAATTTTAAAACTTTAGTTTAGTCTAAAATGACTGAAGTGAAAATAATTTTAATATTAAAAGGATTAAATTATCCTTTACTTGTTAATTT